ATTCCAGCAACGTGATATCCTCAGCCTCTGGTTCTGCAACTTGTCCTTGGTCCCTGGCACACATGTTCGATGAAATCTCGCACTGTAGCAGGGGCTTTAATCACTGCGGTCATCTTTGGGGCCTCAAATCACAAGTGATTCAAAGGATTCCCTCCATCGGCATTCCACTCAGACTGGCTAGCCATGCTCATCCTCACCCATTCCAGTATCTCTCGCATATCTCTGTGGGGACCACCCGAACCAGGACTCCTAAGACTCAATTGAGATGGTTGCTCCCTTGGCAACCCCAGACCTGCTGGCATTGGTGGCCTCTTTAGGGACCATGAAGGCCCCATTCTGGCCTCCTTTTTTAAGCATATCGACCACTCAGACTACCAAACTGCTGAGGCCCTAGCGCTCCTAGAAGCCTCGAACTTTTCGACCATCCTTGAAGCCCAGCCTTGACCATCGAAAGTCATTCCAGCAACGTGATATCTTCGGCCACTGGTTCTGCAACTTGTCCTTGGTCCCTGGCAGACATGTTCGATAAAATCTCCCACTTTAGCAGAGGTTTTAATCACTTTAGGGACTCTTGGACCCCCACCTCCCCACGCACTGTTCTATTGCCACACCCCTCGGAGGTTTTGCAGAAAGCTTCCTAGTTTGTGCGTAGCCATTTTTTGGTGTATATAGCTCCTAGTTACAGAGCCCATTATTTGCACAATCCCCTCTTTTTAATACAAATGTTAAACTTTCTCACCAAAGAGAGAGAGAGAGAGAGAGAGAGAGAATAAATCTAGTTATATTAGCTATGCATAGTCACAAATGCAAGGGCATGCAGTCGCATGCGTCTAGAATTCATTTTTAAATTTATTACATTATGATTTTATTCTTTAATAATATAAACATGTCCAAAGTTAGGAGTATCCATCATTCTAGCTCCCAGCATTCTAGTTTGTTGTAATAGGTTCAACACATACTTTCTCTAAGAGACCTTCTTTGACTTTGTTACTTTGTGGTTCCAAACTGTACTAAACAAATATAAAATAAGGACTCGATAAAGGATTTGCAACTCACAGTTTCGCAAGAGCTTAAAAGAACCATTCCACTCTGAGAAGCCATTGCAATGAGGTCATCATTTGAGCAGAGACGGACCCATTTCAGCTCATCACCAGGAACCTGCCAAATCAGATCAAACACACTGATGAAAACTACCTGCTCAATTAGGCATTGAATTGAAAACTAATTGACAAGAGGAAAAGGGAACAACCAGCTGAATCGCTATAATCCCAGTTATTCTTATCGCAGAGAAGAACTCCAGAGAAATCTTCTTGATGAACCCTTTTGCAGTTAGCATTATTAGATATTGGTCCTTCACAAATTCACTGACCGGAATAACAGATGTTATTCTCTCACCATCAGATAATGATAATATCTGCATACACAGAAGAAAAATAAAGGGGAAAATAAGGTGTCAAGTAACTAAATGGCATAAGACCAATTGCATATTAATGAAGGCGCTATCACATTATTTTCCTTTTTTTTTAGTAGTAGGGTAGACACATTCTTCCCTGCAGAAAATCTTTACATGCGACGAAAGAAAACATCAAGCGAGATTTAAGTTTAGGAAACCATGTATTACAAAGTGCAAATACATTTTGATAGTGAGACAATATAGTAGAGTACCTGGACCAGGGGTGTACCTGCAGCAGTCCTGGTACACTCCGGTATTCGAAAAGCACGGGCAGAGTACACAATTCCCTTATCACTGCAAAAACCATATGATAAATTTAATGGTACACAACCATTATTAAGGACACAATACTCAGAAAATATTCTAAGCCACTGTAAAATTTGAGTCAGAAGCTGCCATGACCCATCCCATATGAGAGATAAGTACTCATTAAATACAACAGGTTGCAAACAGTTTGAAACCCATTATTATGTTCCATAAAGCAATGGAGTAGCATCACAGTACCACACTCTACACAGACTGAAGGGACCTTGATGCAGATCAAAATTTGGTTACCACCCATTAATCGCCCAAATACTGCTGGTCCAGGTGCTAGAGTTCAGGGCGCAGCTCAACTCTCCGTTGTTTCAAGTGCGGGGAGCCAGGTCACAAGGCTAGAGACTGTAGAAAGCCGAACAGCAGTCCTGATAAAAGCAAGCAACTCATGCTAGTGGATGAGAACCTAGATGATGCTGATGGGTATGATGGTGATCCAGTTTATCGTGAGGAACCAGATGAGGATGATCTTGTCTATGGAGATGTTGGAGAGTCCTTAGTTATTCGAAAGAGCCTACTAACACCCAAGCAAGAAACCCACGAGGATTGGTTGAGGACTAATATTTTTCACACCATCTGTACCATTGGAGGCAAGGTGTAAAAGCTTATTATTGATAGTGGAAGTTGTGAGAATGTAATCTCACAAGATGCGGTCACAAAGCTCAAGCTAGGCACAAAAAAGCATCCCCAACTATATAAGCTTACTTGGTTCAAAAAGGACAATGAGGTACGAGTGGAAAGTAGATGCCATGTTTCTTTTTCTATTGGAAAGAAATATTGTGATGATGTATGGTGTGATGTGGTTGCCATAGATGCTTGTCATCTATTATTGGGTAGATTGTGGCAATATGACCGTAGAGCGATACATGATGGGAGGAGGAACACATATACTGTTTGGAAAGATAGTAATAAAATTGTGTTAGCTCCCATGAAAAAGAAAATTACGCCTAAGCCTAAACCAGGGGAGGGTGCAAATTTACTCTCAATGGCTAAATTTATGGAAGACGTTCAGGAGACTGGGTTAATGTCTGCTTCGGTGGCTCATGAGGAGGGTTTAGATTCCATAATTCCAGAGATCGAAGATGGAGAAAAAGATGCATACGTGGTGTGCCCTGAGGTTCAGTTTGATCAATTTCAGCGAGTTTATGGGGCTGAAAAGTCAGCATATAATGAGCCTTTCCTCAAGGGTTTCTCAGTTTCTAAGTACAATCATTATGGTTTGTTTAGGGCAGTAACCCACAAGTCACAGGATCATGCTTGTAATGTTCGAATTGAAGAAGGATGTGAGGAAATTTTGATTTTATCGCATTTTAAAACTCAAGATTGAGTTTTCTCCAACCAAAGGAGAATGATGCGGATCAAAATTTGGTTGTTACAAAAATTTAAATATATTTTTGTTAATTTAACTTTTAGAGGTTGGGTAGAATTTCTATTTTTGTTTTATAAAGTTAATTTTCAGAAATAGGATTTAATAGGATTTTTAGGTTAGTTTGATAAAGTCTATTTATTTTAGGTAAGTGCGTAGAAGTATAAGTCTTTTTCAGATCCGATCTTGTGCATGGTTTTTTTTTTTAGGAAAATAGGAGGTAACCAATTTTAGCTTTAGAGATGCGTATCTCTTTATTAGTTGAGGAATACAAGGTTTATCTCTACATTTTTTATCTTTAGGTGAGATAGTAAAGTATGGGTAGAGGTGGCCTTCGAATCACGTGAATTGTAAAGGGATAAAAGTTAATTTATTTAGCAAGTTAGTACTTAGTGGATGAGAAAAAAAGAATAGCTATTTTTTTAAGGGAAATAGGAATTATCTTTTTTTGTAGGAAGAGTACATCTTTTTAGGAGGTTTCGAAGAGAATTCTTTTATTAAAAGGGATGCATGTTATTTTAAAGAGGGATTGAATTTTATGAATCAAAAAAATTGATCTTTGAGATCGTGTAGAGTGAGAGAGAGAGAGAGGGTCATTTGTGAGCGTTTTTTCTTCTCCTTTGCTTGTGACCCGTGTCAGAATACTCATATCCGCACATTTTGTTCTTTCTTCTTGTGATTTCCTTCACGATTTTTAATTCTCTCTCTAAATGCGGTTAATTTTTCCAGTGTTGTTCGCCGGTAAATTTTATATTGCGTCAAACCTTAAATGTCAGAGCTGAGTAATTGAATGCAAAAAATCGAAGTGAATTAGTTTGTTATCTTTTAGAAACCAACACTTGTCATATTCAAACTTTGATTTGATATTACGTCATAAACTTCGAAAAAAAAGGAGCTGTACACTGAGAATAACATTGTTTTGTCCAGTGAGGATAATGATGCCCACTAAGATGCTCACCAAGGTAACTACCAGTCTACCGCAACAATAGCCATGCCAAACACGCATTCAGTTCTTGAGAAAATAAAAAAATTTTCAAATTAAGAAAAAGTCATTGACAACATAAACAGGAAACAGCACAAAACCAAAACCATGGCATATCATAGGAGGATGACATTTCAAATGGTTTGTAAGTTTCTGAAGGAAAGATAACACAATTGACGTACAACGGAATAGAGGTTTTACCTGAAATAAAGAACATGATCATGGGCATGGCAGACAATGAAGTCAGACAAGGCATCATTTACACGCATTTTCCCAACAGATTTTCCAATTGTTCCACGGTTCTGTAAACTAAAAGTGTTGGGCCTCATCCGTTTAACATAGCCTTTCTCACTGAAAACCTAAAAGATGTTACAGATTGAGGAAATTAAACGTTCAGCAGTATTGTGGCAATAGTGGTCCTTGCTGACAATGGGGGTTTCTTATGTTTACTGATCACTTGAGTTTAAAAATAATAGATCCAGACTAAAACTCAGATCAATGCATTCAATTTCATGAAAAATACAATGAGTTCCATACCAGAAGCATTTCTTCATTAGGAATAACATCAATTTCTTCCAGTTGACTGCCATCTCCTTCTTCCAGTGATGAACGTCTTGGCGTTCTGAATTTGTTCTTTACTTCAATAGCTTCTTGTTCTATCATCTAGCGTAAAAAGAACGACAAGCCAGCACAAGAAAAATATAATGAAGAAAAGCATATGCACACAACAAACACAAAAGAAAAATAACATTGACAACATTCAATAGATGTCTTTGTAAACACAAAAGTGCACAGCGCATGCTGCCCGCCCACACACCCACGAGCAAGCACACACCAAAACAAACAAAATTCATGTCCCTAACTGCAGCAAATTCATTAGGAAAGCCATCTAATAGACCATCTATAATTAAATGGAAATATTTTACGCTAACAAGAATAATATAAGTTCCTAATTGTGATTCCATTAAAATGTCAATGACAACTGTCAACATCAGCCACATCTCCCAACATAATGCATGCATACCATAGGGGCACCAAACTTTTTTCTTTTTTTTTTCTTTTCTAGATAGGTACCGAATATATGTCTACCACTAGCAATCAGAAAATAAGACACAAAATAGTTATAACAAAAGATATCTCTCGTACAAAAGAATATAAAATGCTCAAAAGGCCATCACACAATTAGATATATTATAGTTATACAGAAGCCTCTGGCTCATGCCCACCTGCTTTCATTTGTAACAGGACGGCTATGGGAAAGCAGTAAAAAAAGCAGCACAAGGACAAATCTGATATAAGTGAAGTATAGAAGCAAAGTAAAGAAAATACTTGCCATGGTATAAGAATTAAAAACGAAAAACAGGAAAATCATATGAAAATATAAAATAGTGAAAACAACCCAAACACTAGGGGGCATAAGTAACAAGTCACAGAAAGAAAACCTATCAAAAGAAAGTCAAAGAGGAATAAAAAAAGAATATAGTTGAAGCATAGAAATAATGTGCAGAAGTCATGTCTAATAGACTAGCCCACTAAGTCAAAACATGAAGCAGAAAGACTTAGCTGTGTTTATATGACTAGGCAAAAGGGAGTCAGTGGTGACTAACATAAGTCAACTTATGAAGGTTTTTATGAATGGTGGGTGGTTTAAAAATTAAAAAGTAAAAATAGGAAAAATACATTGACAAAGTTAAAATAAGAAATATATAACATTAAGAAATGGGCAAATGACAAATCAGAGCATGGAATTCCAGCATAAGTCATCAAAGTTGCAACCAGTCAAAAGTTTTTTGGACAATTTTACCAAAACATACCATATTAGAAAGGGATTGTATACCATGAGACCATTTACCTTATGTTTAAGGAGGTCACAATTACTTACAACCGTCCGATGTGAAATCTGATAGCTTAGGTGTGTCACAAAGTTCGATAAATTTTCTTTTGATTTTTGAGTTTGGTCAATAAAATAAATGCAGCCACCCAATTTCACATCCAATGGTCAAAATTAATTGTGACCACCTTGTACCAAAGGTAAATGCTCGTAATATACTTTCCCTATTAGAAAAGGATTCAGAGGACAGAATTGGTAAAATAATATTTGGGATCTTTTCCGCCTTGCTTGGACAGAGCATTTATTACCAAATATGCCCTGCTTACTCCCTCACCCATTAAGGAGCGCTGAAGGAACAGTTTAAAAACTCACAAGACATTGCTGGAGTACAATGTCATGTGAGTTTTAAAAGCTAACAAGACATTGAAAAGCATTTTAAAAGGAAAAATACATGACATTCACCTGATATACAAGTTTTTTGCTTGACAAGAGTTCATTCAGCTTAGAAATCTGTTCCTTCAAAGACTCACCTTCTTCCACAAACTTTTTCCTCTGCATCATATTAAGACAACACAGTTTGTGTCATACTTGCACAAACCAAATAGAAACCAGATCTATAGTTGTCAAGAAACGAAACCAAATATCACACTTCAATAACAAAAAACCTCAAGAGAAGTAAGTTTTCTCAAGGTTATGTCCAATAAAGCCTCAGCTTGTTTATCCGAGAGGTTATATGCTGCAAAAAAGGAATATACTAAAATCAGTTCAACCTAATTATTTTTCATGGCACCAAGCTAGATATAAACACAAAGCATACAAAAGGGACAAATAAATTCTGAGCACATGCATATGAATAATACAAATAGTTTAACTCCAACAGCCATACTATAGAAACAAGTCGTTCATTGAAGAAAAGAAAAAAAGAAGAAATACATACTAAAATACAAACAAAGAAGTGTTAAATAAAACATAACATTCATCGTCATCATCATAGCCTTTTTCCAATTAATTGGGGTCGGCTACACGAATCTTGGTCTGCCATTCTGCATTATTAAAAGTCATTCCCTCAGTGAGGCCATAAATCCCCATATCTTTTCGGACTACTTCCAACCATATCATTTTGGGCACTACCCTTTTTCCTTTCCAGTCCTTCCACTTGAACCAACTCGCACCTCCTAACAGATGTACTTGGTCGGCACCACTCATGGTCAGGCCACCTAAGTCTACTATCTCTTATCTTATCACCTATTGGTGCCACACCTAAATTCTCCCGAATGAATTCATTTCGAATTCTATCTCTTATTGTCTTGCCACTCATCCATTTCAACATCCTCATCTACGCTACACTCCTATGGGTATATTGTTTTTTGTCCGCCCAACATTCCAGCCCATAAAGCAAAGCTGGTCTCACCGCTGTCTTATAGAACTTGCCCTTCAGCTTCATTAGTATATGGCGATCACATAAAATTCTAGTTGCACATCTTCACTTTGCCCACCTAGCTCCAATTCTGTGTGCGACTTCTTCCTTAATATCTCCATTTTCCTGGATTATTGACCCAAGTTATCGAAAGTGCAGTCTTTTTTGTACCAAAAAAATATAACATTAAACTTTTTTTATTGTCGAAATTAGTGATTTACAAAACAGATCTCAAACCCGGAGCGAGCCCCCAAAAACAGGTCCAGATCGATGAATCGACGGTCCGGATCGCCATTTTACAATGTGGAAAAAACAGTGCACCAGCAAAAGCAACGAACCAACCAAAAACCAGTCTGTATCAAATTAGCGGTCCTGATCGTCGTTTTACTATAGAGAATCATCATTTTACTATGCAGAACCGCCAGTTCCCTTCTAGACTCGGCCTTTTTCCTATATATATGTAAAACCAGAATAGGATGACCGATTCCCGAGTCAAACGGTGTGATTTTGTACCAACCATATGTTTTTTAAATCATTGGTCAAAATATAGCATCAATATATCACATCAAACATTACAAACCAATTCTTGATAGAAAAAAAAAATTATAAACCACTAAAATACATCTTGTCATACAAATCTAAGCGTGAAACAATTATTAGGAGCATTGGAAGAAAAAATAAAGCCTTTTAAACAATATAGGTAGGGAGTGACTAGCTTTGGTGTAAAATCCATCTACAAGATCTATATACACAAAGGCATCCACCTTTGGGGAACAATGTTATTTCCTCAATTCGTCAACACAAGATTCTACATGTTCTGAAAGTTTAATGCATGCCACAATTATGTGCCCCACCACATTGAAACTCGTCTTTGTTAAAGCATTTTGTTGAAGAACAATATTTGTAATTGAAATAGAATATTTCACCTAATACCACAGTAATAAAAAGCAACACAATTTGGGTTCCACGTGGCCTCGTACTGCAATCCAAAAAAAAATCCAAATAATTTGAATAAAAATTCTAAAACTAAGAAATTATACCACATGGAGGTCCACACCTTAATATCACTTATTTATTAGGTACCGATATCTTTCTATACTTTTGTTTTATCAATTCATAATGGTGTAATAATGCCGAGATAGTGGACTCAAATGCAATCATACAAAATCATTATTTATTTTGGTCTAGATATGCTTCTAAAGCATCCACTGCACACACGTTGAAGTATCCATGCATCATATGGTAACATGATCATTTCAAAATTCTGCAATAATTATTTTGTGCATTAAAAGATGGCTTGTTTGGTGTATCCTATCCTTACAAGAATCTTGGCCTTTGCCTGGCTTGCTTGCTGGAATACACCTTCACTATTGAACATCTCTAGTGTAGGAATATGCAAATCCTGATAATGTGCATCATGTGCCAGGAGACAATCAGTGGACCACCTCCTTCTTCATTGTCGTTTCGCAAGGGAGTTGTGGTCCCCTTTGTGCTAGTGCTTTTTGAACTGTCTTGGTTTGACCCCTGCTTCTGTGACTACTTGTTCTCCTCCATACCCATACCCCCAAAAAGGGGATGATTATTGTCACAATCATGCTTAACTGCTAGCTTGCGGAGTATTTTGGAAGGAATAAAAAATTTATAATCTTCTGGGAATTAGAGTAGAATTGACTCAACGATAAAAGATTCAAGACCAAATCAATGTATGGGCACATTACCAGGTTTCCAAGGGGCTTATTTCATGAGGATTGGACGACAGTCACCTTTGAGCTAATTTAGGGTAAGCCTGAGCCACAGATGACCTAAATCCCACTGCCACCCAAGGGCAATGACAGTTCTCACGTGGGAACCATGATCATGGTAGAAAGCTATACCCTTAGAACTATATCGTGGGCAAAGGAAGGGAAGCACTTTTCTCTGGCATCTAACTATGATTTCTTATGAGATAGAGGACATTGGATCCTCTCGTCTCGTTCTCATTCTCCCATCACATACGTAAAGAAGCAACGGAGATTATCAATATACTACTAGCCAATGAAGGTGATCTATGAATGCACTTGTTACCTTGTTGGGTATCTCAAATCATCAAGATGCCATCACAGCATCTCTTAGAGACCAAAATTATCTGGTAATTTCCTATCACTATAACAAAATTTTCGTTAATGACAAAAAAAACTAACTCTCAAAAGAAATAGACTTAGAAAATAATGTTCAGAATTCAGGAATTTAAAAAAAAAAAAGAAAAAAAGAAGAAAGAATGTACTTGGTACTCCGTCATTCATATAAGACAGCATTCTCTAGGCAAAAATAAAACTCTGACATCATACAATAGGGCTTTATGGCAGTATGAATGTGCCAAATTCACAATATAATGCTAATGATGAACTAAAACCCTTTGATAATATAAGAAGAATCACCAAATCACTGCAAAACATTATGAAGAACATCGAAAAGAAAGAGAATTGGTGACCTTTCTTCAAAGCAGCCGAGGCCATTGAAAGACTTGAATTTTCCCTAATTAGATGAATGACATCATCTAAATTATCGAGCCCCACTAAAATACCCTGAGTAAATAAAAGCATCGATCAACAATCAACATATATTAGATTTACGCCAACAAATAAATGGATATTAGATTTAACCAATAAATATTCAAAAGAAAAGATTGGCATCATATGAATTCTCAATATGAAAGTATTTCATATGAGTGCAATTTACGAATGTCTTACTTTTTTTCTGCAACCTACCTCAATGATATGTTCTCGTTCTTGAGCTTGTTTGAGCTTGAATCTTGCCCGCCTTTCAATAACTGAGCATCTAAAATCTAAGAAGGCCTGATATTATAAAAGGAAAGAGAGAGCAGGTGTCAGTAAATCAACACTAAATGACATCATTGGTAAACTTTCAACAAGTATCTATGCATATACCATTTGACATGTATAAAAACTGCAGAATATTAGAGCACACTATAAGCCTATTAGGAACTCAAATTTTTCTGTATCTAGTTAAAACTACCAAAAACTTGCATGCCCATTCTGACAGATGTCCAGACAAACACATGGTAAGGTGGCCACAAAAGCATACCAGCCACCCCTAACTCAAAAACCAAATCCTGACCTACTTCCATAACAAAACTCAAAAGTGCATGGTGATCCGTGTTCATGAATCAACTTTGAAATGAAGGATCGACAAAATTGTTTGACAAAAGAAGGATACCTACAGCAGTGTCAAACCTGTCCTGACATGAAGAAGATCTAGGAAAAGGGGCCATCATTGAGAAATGCATATTAGGAAAAAGATATAAACAAGTTCATTTGAAATTATACATAGAACTCATGAAGTATCTTGCAAGAGCATGTAACTTGCGAGACCATACAATTCCAAATACAGCTGATAATACTGCAAACAATGGATTGGATATACAGCCTCTATATCTTATGATGTTGACCATATTAGTAATATCAGAAAAACAAAATCTTATGTTTTAATATGTAGGAATTCATCACATGCCAAATTACATTAGCTTCTCCCAAATTGAGAATACACGACCAGATCATGAAGTTTTTGACATTCTATGCAGCCACTTAGATTCAAGAGCATCCCTCCGAAGTTTCAACTTTGCATTGACGCCGTCTCCAGTCCCAGCCATCAAAGCTATGCTATACGCAAACAACATACACTACAATACCTCATCCTATAGATGGCTAATTAATTCGTTTATGACCAAGGAAAAGAGATATGGAATCAACATTGACCCGTGATGTAGGCCTGCCATCAACAAAAATTCACATCTCTCCACTACTTGTCCTCACACTAGTTTGCACTCCCTCGTACATCTCACTTACCATGTCAATCTGGAGACTCCTTTTTTTTTCCAACACCCACCAAATTAATTATCTAGGTACCTTATCATATGCTTTCTCTAAATCAATAAAGACTATGTGGAGGCCTTTTCTCTTTTCCCTAAACTTCTCAATCAATTAACTAATTGGGAAAATAGCCTCAATGGTTGAACTCCCTGGCATCCTTGGCACACATTCTTTTAGGTATGAATAGAAAAAAGCAATACCTGAAGCACTCAATAATCTATAATAGCACTCAATAATCTATAATCTATAAATAGCAAAAGCAAAATAGAAAAAAAAAAATTAAAAGTTCCAACCACAAAAATGAACGGAATACCTGAAGCATCTCTTTCAAACCCATCAATTTGGGTTGCCCATCAAGTATACTGCAAACATCATAAAGGAACAGGAATATAAAAAACCATTCTCAGGGAAATCAATTAAAAGAAATTCGAAGAAATATCAAAACATGTGCACAAGCGTACAATAATTTCTCAAGCTCAAGCTACCTATATCTCTTTGTCAAGATGAATAATCATTAAGTGGTGCAACCAGCAGGAAAAGAGGGACAGGCAAATAGGAAAAAATATCATAATTGAAACTGTAAATGGCTTTTCAAAACCTCCCACATGATCATTCTTTCCAACTTTTCAACATAGAAGTAAATAAAGAAACTCTATTATTGTACTACCATAGCATGGCAAAGGTAACCACATTAAGATTCAAAATCAACACAAGTTCAAATTTTGGTTTAGATGCAACTAACCCCACCATGTTGCAGCTAAAGCTCGACTGAAGTACAGTTAGTTTGTACAGCTTGTTGAGAACAATGGATGGATCAGACCCCTTCTTTAACTGCCACCAAAATGTCCAATGATAAAACCATTACAATGAGAGAACTATGGCAATCCAATAAGCTTCTTATAGATTACAGCATACAATAACACAAACATATCAAATTTTCCCCCAAAAAAACTAGACCACCATAAATGCACAAGACATGCAAACCTCAATCACTATCCGCATTCCAGATCGATCACTCTCATCACGAATATCACTTACACCCTCTATGCTCTGCAAAAATAAAGAATAAACAAAACATCCTTGCCACGTTCAGATATGCACATTGGAAGACTGAGAAACTACATAAACCCCGGTTCAAATAACTCCTATTCCATTATGGTTTGAAGATGTCACAAGGGTCCATTGTTTTGTTATGTAAGTTTCATGTTTTAAGTTTTCCTTCATGGACATTAAAGAGCAAAAGAAAATCAACCACATCCCGTGGTTAATCCACATACAATAACAAACGTGTTGTACAGAACAAGTTTGTCAATAAGATGATTTGGTATGCAATGAAGAAACCGAAAAGGAATACATAATACATAACCTTGTCTTCCACAAGCTCAGCAATTTTCTCCACTAAGGAAGCCTTGTTGGTTTGATAAGGTATCTGCATGTGGTAACAAAGACGATCATTTGAAAATCTGATTGGAATGACAGTAGCATCTAGAGAGATGGAGGAGAGAGCGCGATACATAGAGTGATTAAACAAGAAGCAAAGAAAGTATACAAAAATATCTAGAAGAAAAGAAATGCAAAACGTAAATACCTCTCTAATTACAAGAGCGGAGAGCTTGCCTTTTGCATCAAGCACCTCCACATCGGTCTTTCCTCTGACAACTATACGCCCACGACCAGTTCGATAAGCATCTAAAATCCTTCACGAGAAGAAGCTACAAATCAGAAAACAATGATGCACTCTGATCCAGATGTACCATTTTGTGAACCAAGGGAAAGACATAATAAAACTAGTATGAGGAATGCAAATCGCATACCCAATATTTCCCATAATTTCACCACCAGTTGGAAAGTCAGGTCCAGGCATGTATTCCAATAATTCTTGGAGCTTGTGTAGAAGACAAAGTTTTAAAGTTAGTAGGCCATACATGAGTGACTAAACATAAAAAAGACAATCGGAAATTGAAAGAAGCCGATACACAAACTACAGTCCAATTGAATATCAAGCCTGACTTGTAATTTTTTATTTAAATATTGACTTTAAACTGGTGCGAATGGAACTCAAGACATCACATTGCGGCACCCGCTACCGTGACCCACCGTTGCCTTGAGCTCATTTGCCCCTGTAATATTAGTCTAATGAAATAAAAATCGACTCTTAGCCTTGACGAACCGGTTCGTAAATCGAACAGCATGTGCCTAGAAAATGGGCCATACTCCAGAGAGAAACAAGTAGCCCTTCAGACATTTAGGAATTGTAATTTCGGGGGTGAATAGTAATCTACCCATTTGAACAAGTGTTTTAAAGAGTTAAAAATGCCCAGATCAAAAAAATACAATATGCTTAAAAAAGAGACCATTCCACGGCTATTTTTATATAAATAAAAAATAAAAAAATAAAAAAGTCCTGTGTAACAAGGCTACAGTGCTAAACCTATCAGAAAAAAAGGTTACCGGACCAGAAACAGCCCAAGGATGGAAAGTAAAAGCAATCATCACACATGAAGATAAATAAGCAATTTCTGCAAACATTGAAAAGCAGGTCTCTTTTAGAGGAAAAAATTGACACATGAAAATGCAGATTTTTCCACATCAAAAGTCAAATTTCATTTATGGTGTTGTTCAACCAACTAAACCAATGACCACAAGAGACTTTGACATTTGCAAGAGAGTTCAGACTCTATTATGAACAATAGGAAGACCTTGTCCCGGTATAAAATTTATATTGAAGGATTCAGGTCATTTGAACTGTTTCCTGGAACTAAACACATGATGAAACCTACATCATTATAACTGCGTAACAGGGGCATGCAGCTTGCTCAATTTAAAAAGGGAATTATTAAATCACACCTAAAAATTGAACTAATTAACATCTCAGCATAGATAGGATTTGATACCTTTCAAAACCCATAATGATGTGCCCCTTGATCGGTTATATGAGATTCGATAAACAGAGTCAGGGAAATTTCAAATTAGACCAAAAGATATGATGAAATCTTGAACAGTACAAACCGTAGGTATGATTTGAAAATTTTCCCAATTAATAGCTGTTCAATTCTGTAAACTTTTGACACTATGCATCATTGGTTCTGGAATAAGAGTTGAGTCACAAATATGGCAAGAAAATGGTATTCCAAAAAAAAAAAAATGTAGCGGTACTTCAAAAACATATGACCTCATGCAACTTATTAGGTTCAAGAAAACACAACATCACAGATTTATATCCAGTGTTTCAATGGTACATACAAAAACCATTTACTGTAAGTAAAAACAGGGGCACCGAGACACATATACAACACCCAAGATTAAAAATTTTATTTTTTCGCTAAGGTAGCAGGGAAGAATAAAACTTTTAAGGAATGGAAAATATCATGTCTTACTGTAGCATCAGGATTATGAAGCAATACAGAGAGTGCATCTACCAGTTCACCAAGATTGTGAGGAGGGATATTGGTTGCCATTCCAACCTGACAGAACAGGAAATATCACAAAATTAAGAATAATTGTTTTCATTCTCTGCACGCATAGAACATAACATATGAAACTCAAAAACTAGGATGGACAATAAAGAAATTGAGTGCAAGTGCGTCTAGAACTCAAAAAACCTTTGACGCACCGCAATCCCAGAAGAACCATTCAACAGAAGGTTAGGAACTCGAGCTGGCAGAAGCGAAGGCTCTTTCTGAGACCCATCAAAGTTAGGAACGAAATTAACCTGAAACCAAATTAAACATTAGCAAGGATGTTTTAAAATATAGTGCTATTGACATAAAGTAGTACCTTTTTTTTTTGAGAAATAAGTAGTACATATGTATTTACATCCAAAGAGAATCAATCATATTCCAATTCAAGTAATGGTTTACCAATGAAAATAGAGGAAAACTCAATGAATCCAACTGATGAATGAGCCCAAAGAGCTAAAGAAATTTATGAGTACACTCTCCTCAAAATCAACCAAAGGTGGCCAAAAATGCCATTATGTTAAAGATTACTCATGATGGGCATGTTTCCAAGAAAAAAAAAAAACAAAATAAATATTCATTATGAAAAGCAGGACATAAATTGTGAATACATTTCATAGAGATTTAATTTTTTTTTAATAGATTTAAATTTCATTAGCTTTGCGACCCAAGCATTTACTTTTATCTATCCCACTAACTGAACATTGCAATGTTAGCAATGGAAGAAAATTAAATATTCTCAAGATCGAGCACTAGGAAATAAACACTTCGAAGCACGCATCAAAAAAAAAATTTGTAAAGCTCATACGGGTCATTGAAGTTTAGATCCAGAAATAACTATTTTTTGTTTTTTCAGTTGGTTAACAATTTGTAACAACTAACACATAAGAGAATGTAAAAAACAGCCTTGAGAGACACCATGCCATAATGAGCATGAGAAAGACCATGTTTACCGTGTTTTGTTCGAGATCTGACAGAAACATAGCTTCTGTGAGTGCCTGAAAGTTTTCAAGTTAAACAAATGAGTACCTTCAAGATGATTCATCGACCAATAATCAAGAAACAAAAAAAGGAAAATGTGAAGAACAGAAAGTGACACAAATGACATATTTAGCAGAAGTTTGTAGATCAGTTGGAATCAGCACCAAGGAATCAATGATAAGGGTGTAGATAGCCCTTTCCATATAGACAAAAATTGCAGCTAGTTTCTATAGTCGATGAAACATTTGTCAGAAGAATTAAAACCAATTCCGTGCAGATCAGATGTCCAGAATAACAACAGCAAGAAATCCACATTTCCAACAGTAATTAAAAATACAAATTAAAAAATAATTCCAACATAAGCTTTCATTCAAATTCACAAACTGGGAGGACACAGCTGATTAAACAGACAGAATTGCAAATAGAGATTATTAAACAGGGAGATAGGCCAAACTAAGCACAAGCTCAAACCTACTTCCAGTCTGCATTCTGTATATCTCATTGCAGCAGGTGGATCAGCATCAATAGACCCAAAGTTCCCATGCCCTTGAATAAGTGGGCAACGCATTGAGAAGTCCTAAAAGTCACAAAACAGTATCAGCAGCTCAAATGCAAAATTCACACATCATTATGACTTCTAGACTAGGTAATAAATTGTTAAAATAATTTAAAAATATGAAGACAGAATGAAGAACTTTGTTCTTTCTTTGAAGAGGGAAACAAGGCTTCAAAAAACGTTAGGCGGCCTGCCTGGCGCCCAGCACCCCGTAGTTTTAAAAAAATGAGAAACGCCTAGCCCGCTTGGGCACCCACCTAGCCCGCCTGGGCGCCCGTCTAGCCCGCCTGGGCGCCCGCCCAGGTACATCTGCCCTTGTAGGGCTGCCTGGGTCTAGGCAGGCGGATTTTTGGTCCAGGCCGCCTAGGCGCTAGGGGGACCGTTTTTTAAAACATTGGACGGAAAGAATAACTTAATAAGTATATTTTAACAAAAACAAGAGCAATGTATTCAGTGTTTTTGAGATCAAAATGAAGAAAAAAAATCATCCATTGAAAAGTACTGAGTATTGACAAGGAAAACAATCTTATCACTTAATACTTTACGAGCAGGAAACCAAAAACAATCAAGGTACCTTAATATGGAACAAGTCATGGCCCCACCAATAACCAAGAGGCCAAAGAAAGAGCAGACAAAATAATGACGGTAGTGTGACGTTTTTAACAACTATAAATGAAAACTAAAAGCACAATGAAAGTTTGAACACGGGATTTCATGCTCGTAGCATGTCCCAAAAACCCACACTCTCCTAAGAGCATTCAAGTTCCATAAACTGCACAGTGTAGAGTTTGCAATGAAACAACTTCACAGAAGACAACATACTAAAGTCTCAACATATGCCCCAAGATTAAGCCTCAAGGGACAAATAGTACTCCTCCAGCCATCATATAATATCAAGACTTAGAGAAACAACCTCAAGAGTGCATAAGCTTCGGGATAGCCATCTAACTAAATTCAGAGAGGAACCATATTTGAATAGAATATCATAACGTATCAATAAACCTTAAATGCTACAGCGAAGTAGACATGTAGTATATTTGAAAAATAGAGAATGTAACAGACAACCACAGGAGCCAATTGGACACTTGCTCCCTCGGGTGAAACTCCATTAGGAGGATTTGTCTGATCTGAGATTTTGGGAATCACCTTAGTATCACCAGATGAATAATTTTCAAAAAAAATAAAAAAAAATTGATTATGAGTTTCTAAACTGATGATTCTAAAAAATGAAAGGTCTTTTCGATCTGAATCTGGCGGAATGATGTTCTTTACAACAGGAAGTTTTAACGTCTGTCTTCCACTTCTTTCCTATTTTTGTTTTTCCCTGGTTGGTTGTTGGGATGCTTGAATTACATCCTCAACATTGTGACTCAAGAAATACTCATGGTTAGGTTTTTGCAAAAGATGAAAATCTTCATTTCACTCCCATGAAGTATATTATCTATTCGATATAAGATTTATATGCACAAATACAACGAGGGCAATTACATAAAACATATGTTTTTAGAGAAAACATTATGCATTGCACTCTCTAACACCATTTTATTGTATCCTGTAACTGTTAATATTTAGCAAAGGTTTAATCATGACTCTGCTAATATTTTTTTTACCCCAAAAGAAAAAACTAAATAACCAACAGTATTACATGAATCAAAATACAATGTAGTCAAAGAAAACCAATTGCATTAGACAAATGCCCGAATCCTCAAAAGTTAAAGACATTCTTTGATCAGATAAGGAGAAGTTTTGTATTATCATTCTTCTCGAGAACAAAAAGGAAACCTAATACTTCCAACAGTTAATAAATTCAAACACTTCTTTCCATGCACACTGCCAAACTGAATGCGAAATAGTACGGTATCTTAAAAGGTGCATTCACTCTAACGTACAAGTTTCTTTACTCTTGTTTTTGTTTTGGTAAATATGTACATGTTTCTTTGATGAAACCAAAAGGATGGGTATCTAATTACGAGAACCAAACTGTGAAATCATCTATGATTTACCTGGGCCATCCGGACCAATGAGTCATAGACAGCAGTATCTCCATGTGGGTGGAATTTTCCCAACACCTGCGAAAAAGGAAACATATATTCGAAATATTGAAGATAAGATAAGGCATGAACATAGAAATGCATTTATGTTTTATGATATACAATGCCCAAGAACCAAATTCCTCATATTGCTACTGAAAATACAAAACAATAGAGCTGAAGTTGTAAGTACAATATGGGGAAACTTATATAGAAATTCTTACAATAGAAGCAACCGTACCTCACCAACAACTCTAGCACATTTCTTGAACGGTTTTCGCGATGAAAAACCCAATTCATGCATTGCAAATCTGCATTAAATAGGATTCTGTATTTAGTTTTTTGCCAAATTTTCTATCTTTTTTGTTTTTCGAGAAAAGGTTTAACTTTATATATATTACGTATTGGTTGCAGCAAAGCAATATGGAAGGCATCCCACAAATTGCGTGCTCTTCAAGAAATGTTTTACGTGGATGTCTCATTTAAATAATTCAGAGAGATTTTGTACATGAAAAATCAGAGCAACAAATAGGATGCAGAGAGACAGCAGTACTCCAAATAAATTATGATGGTGTACAGAGAGACAGACATCCAACTAAGGATGGAGAGAGTTTCTACTTCTGGGGCTCGACATTAAGGAGAGAGAAAGAGACAGAGATGCGTTAGAGAGAAGTTATTCTCTAGGGCTTTTACAGTGTAGAGGGAGAAAGAGGAACCCAGTTAGAGAAATAGAAGTTCTATTATAGGGACACATAAATAGAGAGAGAAAGGGACTATTCTCACGCGATGTACAATGCAGAGAGAGGTGATTCCACTGTTTACACTATTCGGTAGCTCAGAAAGAGCAAGAAGAGGGAGTAGAGAGATAGAGCAGACAGCCAAAGGTAAATAGAGAGAGGGAAAGAGAGATCCAGCGTAGAGAGAGCACACAGGCAAGAGGCAAAAAAGATACAGAAGCCACAGAGAGAGGGAATGTAGCGAGAGCACACTGACCAGGAAATGTAGAAAGAGAAAGAGGGTTTGTTGTGCTCACATAATTCGACGATGCACCGGCTTCAATCCATCGCGAACATCAGGCAAAGCACGACCAACAAGCACAGACAAGGCATAAGCTAAGTAAGACTCGGTGGCCTCCTTGTGAAGCTCAGCCATCACAACCCTGGCCTCAAAAGCCTTCTCCTTAACCATAACCCCTCCATTTCCACCCTCTGCATCATCATTTTCCAGGGCTTTCTTTTCTCCCTTTCCTTCATCTCCGCCATCTCTACGTTTTGCCCTGACTACACCAGAGCCTTTACCAGGCCCCCTCGAAACACCAGATAAAAGCCTGACCTCCTTTTTGACAGAGAAAAACCTGTAATTAGGGGTTTGGAGGTGCGGGAAACAGGTGAAGGAGCCATGGAGTTGCAGAGAAGAATGGTGGAACCGAACTAGGGTTTTGGTTGCGAGGCGAAGGGAAGAGGAGAAGGCCATCAAAGAGGGGAAAGAAGTGGTCTTTCTACAGGCTTGAGTGGCCTGCCATTGAAGCATTTCAGAGAGAAATTATATTGCTCTTCAGGTAAGAGAGAGAGAGTTTTACGACACAGTGGAGTGCAGTGATTCTCTCTCTTAAAGAGAGAGAGAGAGAGGATTTCAGGACAGGGTACAGTTACAATGGTTGTAGATGGAGGGGTTGGGTTTAGTACAAACTGGAGTGGACTGGTACTCTTTTCTAGAGAGAGAAACTGCTAAATAAGAACAAGAATAAGAGCGAGAGAGATAAAGAGAGAGGTTTAAAGACACTGAGCGTGAACATAGACACTGGTTTTAGAGAGAGAGAGAGCGATTAAGACACTGAGCCTGAACATAGATAGAAACTGGTTTTAGGTAGAGAGAGGGTTTAAGATACTGCGCGTGAAGACACAGACACTGGTTTTAGAGAGAGAGAAGGGGGTTTAAGACATTGAGCGTGAAGATACATAGAAACTGGTTTTAGAGTAGAGATTTCGCACTTTTTAGAGTACGGTGGGTAGTTGAGAGAGAAAAAGAGGCTGGTTTTAAAACCCTAAAGAGCCTCTATTCGCGCGCTACTTTGCGAGCCCACATACTGCGTTCGACACTTGGTTTGCCTCTCGCATTTGAACTCACTTAATTTCCGGCCGAATTCGTCCCCAGCGTCTATGGCCTGCTCCCGCGGGACCGCATTGTGCATTGACTCCCTCACGCAAAAAAGCGGTAGATTTTTTATTGTATTTTGAGGGAGGGAGGGAGGGGAGTTATCAAAATACTTACATGAAATCAACTGTTTGATATTGTATTTATATTGTTTGAATTAATTTCAAAAAACACTTAGACAGACACATGACCATGAGTTGGAAGTGTCAAAAATCTAAAATGTTAAATAATGGATGGATATCATGTCAAAATCTAAAATGTTAAATAATGCATCTATCATGGATTTATATTTAACTTAGAGCTTTGGAAGCCTCTCAATAATAATGTGAAAATAACTTTTTAAAAGCCTTCGAGTTCTGTAGCACATACTAATTTTCTTTAGGGCGTGTTTGATTACTGAAAACCACGGATTTCACTTGCTTCCGGTGTTGTAGCACTTCTTGTGTTTGTTAAATATAAACTGCTATGTTATTTTTTAACCCATGCGAAGTTAATTTGGGGACACAACGACTTCTTAGCTTCTGATGTTGGTTGAAGAGGCAGCTTTAGAGGCCACCACTTCCACTATTTGACTCAACTTATTTACATTAAAGGTAATGATATGGCTCTTACTTGATCGAAGTTCCAAACCTAGAACAAGAAACTAAAAGTAAAAACAAAACAAGTTTCAAAACTTAAAACAAGCCCGATTTGGACATCATTTAGCTCAATCCTACGAATCTATCCTAAATAAATATTCTCTCCACCAAAATAGTTTTCTTTGCCGTCATCGGGTTTGCACTATTTATTGAGTTGTAAAATTATAGTTCTAAAAAAGAACAAGGAAAATTTATTTCCGTAACTTACTTAATTATTATAATTTTGCAAAGGCCCAAAATTTATAAACATTTACGGGAAAGTCCACCAGTTCGGTACTTCAGATTGCTGCATACTCACCATTTTTTAGTTTTCCAATTTTGTCCGTTGTTTTAAAGTTCACCATTTTTTATTTTTTATTTTTTATTGAAATGTAAAAACTAGGTTAAAGTTCAAGATCGAACCGCATAGCTTGTGTGAATATTGTGGAAGTCAAGTGGTTCGGGTCCTAAAACCTCTAACCAGTCCCTAGATTGAATATTGTGGAAGTCAAGTGGTTCGGGTCCTAAAACCTCTAACCATCCCTAGATTGAGAAGGTCACAGTCCAAGCACGAGTTTGAGGTCTACAACCTTAAACTGCAATAAATAAACGAATTGAACAAAAACAAATAAAAATATCTATAAAGAGATCATTTATCTTTTGTGCACGAAGATCATAATCAATTCCACTCATTAAACATCAAATTGTATGACTTGAAATAAGTCACAAAATTCGAGAAATACCTTTTTTTTAATGACCACCCATTTTAAAATTTAAAAGAACAATAATTGTGACCTCCACGTACAAAACATAAATGGTCTCTATATAGACAAACACAAAACATAAAATTTGCAGTTTGCGTTAATAATATTGTAAGACCGAGGCTTCAAAATAAACCTACACTTTAAAATCCTGTTGGAAACTACAATCTCAACACCAGAAACCTTACCACTTCGAAAATCTATTCCCCACCCCTTTATATGAAACTCGAAGCTCCAAAAGTGGTGACAGTTTTGTAAATACTTAAAAATAGACCATGTAAATATCATAAAATATATTATTTTTAGAACTTGAAATCTATTTTTTTTGTTATATCCATAATTGACCGTGCAAATATTATAAAATATACTATTTCTAAAGCTTGAAATCCATTTTCTTTTCATATCCATAGTCGAAGTTAACATCCTCGATTTTAGAGTCTTTTGGTGCTAGAATTGTGATTTCTTGCTAATTTTGAGCCGTGGCCCTCCAATATAAATTTTCCTACATAATTGTGTACAAAACCATTATTCTCTCAATTTATCAAAAGAACAAGGGACTAAAAGAAAAAAGTAAAAGAGAAAAAGATAATTGCCACCAATTCACTTTAAAAAAAGAAAAGAAAAGGACAATTGCCACCAATCATTGACCTTATCCCTTCACAAAGAATAATGATCTAGTTGGCAAAAATAAAAATTACCCATTAAGAAGGCGCAACCCTCAAATCACCAGATTCATTTTTAGAGGTTTTCAACGAGCAACAAACAAGTTAAAATCACGTATACAATGATCCTGATTAGCAAACCAGTGCACAACTCGGATAAAAAATCCACTTTGGGGAAAGGGGGTGTGCTGCAAATCTAAATACATAGGGTTCTCAGCTCTCCCATAAATAAATCATTATTATGCATGAGAAATGCTGCTAGTCCTCAACACAATTGTGTTACATGAATTTCCCCCACAACTTACTCCAAAAAGCTGCATCAAACTCCCCAAGTGTCACCAATGAAGAATAAGCACAATAATGATAGCTAGCCCTGACTAGAAATTATTGAAACCCAAGTGCCCAAGAGACCACCATGTTGATCCCTGCAAGATTTAACCTTCAACATCAGAATCTTCACTTGCATAGAAGAGGTTTGAGAGCCATTAAACAATGGGGAATCAGAGAACAAATCTGCAGGTTTTTGGCAGAAATAGTAAAAGCCAGGACGGAAATATTTTTCAGAAAACAGAGAGAATAACCTCAATCATCTAATAAATTTCCCAAAAATGGGTATAATATTCAGCAAGTAACTTCAATTAATACTAAAAGACAGATGCACATCAAGGTTAGATCAAGTTACATAGCAAGCACACATAAAGTTCAGAATACAGGAACTTTAGATGGGGTGGCTCCTTGCAATAAGGTTCCTATTGCAAGCACAAGAGATACAAATCTATTGCTAAGGTCCTTTCTAGTTAACCCTGGTCTAACTAGGGATCTCTAAGGACACGGCAAAAGGAAACTTCCACAAAATAGATGACCGTCAAAATATCCTCAAATATAACTGCAGTCCTCCATGGAAGCATATATCATATCACACCCATCTGATAACATTTGATTACTCATCCTCAGTGAGGCTCAACAAATTCAAATAACAAAATATAGAGCCAATTTATGCAGCATCTATGCCAATATCTCAATAGAATTTCAATTTCCCAGGGGGGGCATAAAGCTAATAGGACCAAGGGTTTGCTAGTCTTAGTGAGACCTCTCACTCGAGGCTCTAGAATTCCCTCACAAACTCCCATTCATCTTTAACTTCGGTATCCCACATTGTGGTTTGTCCCTCTCTCTTTTTTTTCCCCTTTTTTTTTTTGATTTATACAGCTTTCCAATGTGATAGCATCCATATGCACAAACCAAGTCAGCCATCTCAATACCGCTAAACTGTTCCATGATTAGCACAAGAGATAACAGGCTCCTTAATCCGCTCTTTTGTCTTCCATTTTTTGAAGTTGTACCATAGAAAATTCACATATCCTTCTACTCCATGAAGCCCAATAAATTGCTAGAATAAATCTTAAACGCAGACCCTCTAAAAGAGAGGTCAGATAAGAGAAGCTTCACTCAAAGATGTGGTGCATAGGTCTAGGGCCTGTTGGGATGCACTTGTTATCACTTATAATTCACTATTTAAATAAAGTTAATTCCGATAATGAACTATAAGTTGTTTGGCATCCATCTTAGAGAATCCGTTCTGGTATGTTGGTCAGGGTTCTCATGAGAATAGGTCTCAATTCTCATGAGACCCAAGAAAATATTTCTTGTAAGCAAAAGGTCTCCCTCTTTTCTATCTTACAACCCCCTGGACCTCTTCGACCATAAATTTTTGATCTAAACAAACACTAAAATGACACCCTATTCAAACTCCATATCTCTCTCTCTTCACTTCTTGATGAGTTTACCAGCCAAGGGGATTAACTTGTGATCGAACACGAACACACTTCTTATGTGTGAGAGAGAGATGGACTTTGGGTTTTAGAGAGCGATGGAGTTTTAGAGAGAGATGGAGTTTGAGTTTTAAGGAGAGAGATGGAATTTTGAGAGAAAAAGAGACGATGATGTGAGAGAGAGAGATGGAGTTTGGGTTTAGAGAGATGGAGTTTTGAGAGAGATAGACGATGATGTGAGAGAGAGAGAGAGACTTTAGAGAGAGAGAGAGATAGAGTCATTTCATAAGTTGTTGAGGTCAATAGTACATGGTCAAAAGGGAAGATAGAAATGATCGAGTCCTTTTGCTTACAAGTAATATTTTCAATTCTTGGGTCTGATGAGATATAGAAGTTAAAAACAGGGGATAATAGGATATTTTCCCTATAATTAATATAGGATAGGGTTTTCTTAAAGAGAGAGACTCCTCTATCTGTTGTCTTATGAGTACGATTTTTGTAAGCAAGTGATTGTGATAAGCAAGTGCAGGTTTGCTAGCGGAAATTAGAGGAAGGACAAAGTGGCTAAACAAGGAAAAGAGGAAAGAGTGAATGAAGTTCAGTCTTTGGCTTGCTCAGTGCTTATGCACCTCTCTTGCTTGGCCAATTTCTCAATGTTTCATTGATCAATCAATTCAAGGGAGTTCATGGAGCATATGGGTTAGGGATATACTCTGCACAGCCAGCCACCTCGCTTTTAGTTTTGATAACTAAAAAAAAAAAGCAATAGCTGCGCTACAAGTGGGCTTGGCATCCATCATAAATTTATCAGAGTTAAACTTATAGGCAATTTTATAGATAAGTTTATGTTTTGTAAAGCAGTTTCAATTTATTCACTATCACATGTTTTTTGCCAAAAATAGCTACAAATAGCCTGAATTCATTGCAAAAATTAAATAATTAAATAATGTTATACATAACATATGATATATACCAAACAGCTAATAAGATTATTTTATCGAGACTATAATAGTTTTACATAAGATAGTCTATTCCATTTAAATTTAAGGGAAAAGTTTATATAAGGCTGCAACCTTATACTATAGAAGTAAGGTGCACCTCAAAAATCCAGTAGAAAAGAAAGTTCTGAAGTTAAAAACGTTCCAATTGACCATCATCATCTCGGCTTCAAGATATACAGACAGTGTTTCAAAAAGCGGCCCGCCCAGCGCCTGGGCGGTTCTAGGGCCTGGGCGCATCGCCCAAGCCTAGGCGCCCAAAAAAAGTGGATATCCCTAGGCACTCGCCCGAGCGGCCGCACAGGGCCTGCGCCCTGCCTAGGGATGGAAATGCCCCTCGTTGAGGATATTTTTTGGTCATTTTTTTAATACTAAACGTGCAAAATTGTGGGTTTTAAGTTCATTTGAAACCTAAAACCCATTAAAGCCTATTTTAGAAAGAGAAAAACCCAAAAAAAAAATTTATGTTCTGGGCGCCGCCTAGGTGCCGCCTAATGCTTTTTGAAACACTGTATACAGATATAAAGAAGAAAAAATTTCAAGTCCTAAAAGTAGTGCATCTTCTAGCAACTTATCTGGACCATCTACTTTCAAGATTTTCAAGTGTTTATAGATGTACTCAATCTGTATCATTTTTAATTTCATAATTAAAGTTGAACGTGGATTTCGAGGTCATCGTAAGGTTTCCGATACCGGAACTACGTCATCTAGAAAAATTTTGAGATGCACCTTACTTATAGTATAAGGTGGGCACCTTATACCATAGTTAACAAGTCGGGGACTTTCAATAAATTGGCTTACCTTAAAATCGGAAAAATTCGTTTTTATTTTAAATATTCGCATGAAAAAATTCGGATAAAAAATACGGATCGGCAAAAATACTTCATGTAATGATATTGCCAATATATCGGACTAGACTCAAAAAATCGGAGGACAAAAATCAAATAAATACATATCAAAAAATTACACCATATCAAACTTACTTAAATCCATATAAAAAAATACACCATATAAAGAGAAGCTAGATCAAGCTGAAATATTACAGGGTTTGATAGCAGTTCTCCCTTCTCTCTCTAGAAATATTTCGAATTCACTAATTTTTGGATCAAACCTCTGTGAAAAATCAAACCGTTTTTTAGAGAGAGAGACGATTAACAATACTAAGATGTTGAGCTTTCTTGCACTTTGGTGCATCTCCGCCGTTGCCATAGAAGCTCATCTCTGGTTCACCCATGAAGTATTAACAGTGCAGACATCCTTTGAGATTAATCACTTCAAGACCCAAATCTGGAAGGGGAAAGAGACCCAAATCTCAACCAGAGGAAACCACCTCTGAATCTCCCCCCTTTCTTTCAACCCCTCTCTCTCAAACTCAACATCATTACCAAACCCCATGGCTCTCTCCTTTCCCTAACAATGCTCAAACTTATGGGGCAATATCACTGGGGAACCAGCCGCAAAACTCATCGGAAAATCAGAGGCAAAGGCTGAGCTTTCAGTCAATAGGAGGCAGAGGTGAGATAGTGAAAGTCGAAGGCGGTCATATAGTGAGAGCCATAGGTCGGAAAGATCAGCACAGCAAGGTCAGTACAGCAAAAGGGCCGAGAGATAGGTGTGTCCGCCTCGCTGCTCATACGGCTATTCAGTTCTATGATGTTCAAGATCGGCTTGGTTATGATAGGCCGAGTAAAGCAATGGATTGGCTCATTAACAAGGCAAAACCAGCCATTGATGAGCTCAAAAAGAGGACCCATAAGAGGTCTGCTTCATTGTTGAATGCAAATTCAAAGCACTGTAATAGTAAACCAGCGCAAGACTCAGAGACACCATTAAAGCAACTTCAAAGCTCCATCAAACCAAAATCAAACCATTTTTTCACTGAGATTTGATATAGTTCTTTGCAAAGGGGGGGAGGGAGTGCCCAGATTTTAGTAGGGATTTTTCACAAAGGTTTGATAGCAGTTCCCCCTTCTCTCACTAGAAATTTTCGCAGAAGTTTTTTTGGAGCCATTTTATTTGTTTTCCAAAAAATCGCGTTTTTAACGGTATTATGAAAAATACACGTTTTTTGGACAAACTTTTCAAAAAAACGGCATTTAAAACCTTTTTAAAAAATGCGCCGATTTTTTGAAAAATTCGGCGATTAATCGCCGAATAGCTAACTATGCCTTACACCAACCTCACCCTAAAATTAATTGTCAGCGAAACAGACCCCTAACAAACCCCAAATTCTTATTGTGAATACACATGAATGGGGAGATGGTCAAATGTCTTCATGACGCTTATGCACATAACACAATAGCACGTAACACAATAGCACGACAATTGGAAACCCCTAAGCTGAGGATAATCCACAATAAATAAAGGAAAATTGTTTCATGTGGGCTGGACTGCATTTCTACATATGAGGTCAAGAAAGTGTAAAGCATCCATCTTAAAGATGGATGCAAGTAGGTGTTACATCTAAAAACATTGGAAACTAACGGTCCAAATGTTTTTTACTAGAATTATTATTTCTAGTTTTTAAAATTTATTTATTTTTTTATATTTATGATGTCCATGTTAGAGATTACACGTCCTTAAAAAATTAAGTCTTAAAATCCATCTCAAAAATAGATTTATTAAGAGGCCCGCATTTCTACATATGTGGGCTTGGCCGCATAGAAACCGGGTCCATAAATAAATGATTGGGTGATCCACCCCAAAGTAGGAAACCAAGAAGAAGCCTGGTCATCCATGATAAAACATTCCACATAAACACAGGTGCCCCTCTCTACTAGACAAAACCATTAAATATCAGATAATCATTTGAAGCCTCAAAATGCATTTGCGAGTGGGGATTTGTTTCCCCCCATTGTAGCTAATTAGCTCTATGTATTCTGGCTCGTTGTACCAATATTCTACGACAATAAAGTTATTTCCAAAAGAATCAAGATAAAAAAAGAGAGAAACCAAGAAGAATCATGTGTGGCCAGTTCAAGCATGTTAGGGCGCAGTAATTAGAGATCATTTCAATAGGTCTGGCTACCCAATTAAAGTAAGACTAAATGCCAGAGATAGAGATTCGAAATATTGCAAGCATATGTCCAACTTACATGTACATGTTGCTTGGATTAACTTCAATAAACAAATTCAAGTAGAAACGGAGACCCTCTGGGGCAATGTCTCTGCATAGCAGACCTGATAAAGAAAAAGAGCCAACATAATGCCATAATATACCAACAAAAGAAAAACTGAAAATTCAGTAGTGCATAAAAATGGAAAATTTCAGCCCCATGACAACTTAAAAAGACCATGCAAACCTTTGTTTTCAGCTGCAAGAAGGTGCTCTTTGGCGAGGGCCGGTGCAACCCCTAATGTCCTTGCAGCATCACTTGGACTTATACCCGTCCTGAGGGCTTCTGGTTTTAACGCAAGGGATCTTATTCTTGCAAAGACCTAAACTTGCAAGAATGAATGTTCACACCAAAGATCAAAAAGCCAAAAAGAATTTGCCTAAGGCAAAGAATTTTAAGTAAAATGAAGTGAAGACTGACAATAGCTGACACATGGCTCACAAAGAAATCAAGCGAAATAAATAATAATAATAATAACAAAAATATTTAATTTCAGCAAAACGAACTTCCATAAAGTAGAAAATGATCAAACATACAAACTACAAGGCTGAAGAATAAAATTTATGAACCACTGGGGCTGAAAAAGCCATTGCTATTGGAATTCAGAGATATTTGGGTTTCAGTAGTCATAATCCACGACAAATCTCAACTTGTCAATAATGCAGGCCAGTACTATCATCAATCATCCCCAACTATGTAGGAATTCAAATAGCCAAGACTTGGTCATTCTTTCACAAGCTCTTTCAGGGAATTATCTCTCAGCGCCATCCAGCTAAAGAATCATCATGAGTCTAAATTACGAGTAATACCTCCTCATCGCTATGTGCCTTGCTTTGGACAACCATGACTCCACTGTCAAACTTTCTAAGCAACACCGGACTGTTGATCATAAAAATTACAAAATTATTAGTCAAAAGGAAGAGCCATCAAGAAATTCATTGAAATTAGTCCCTGCTCTTATATGTTATAAATTTGAGAACATAATAAAAACCCTTATAAGATTTACTAGATGAGCCGATCAAATAGGGCATTAGAACCTGAAAGAGATTGAAAGGTCTGTTTTGCATACACGTCAAACTTCTCCCAAATAGCACATGCTTGTAATAAATCTTCTGGCGCAATCAACTCTGCCACAAGGGATATAAAATCCACTCATTAAACTAAGAAAATGTGAATTCCTTTTAATAAACAAATTAAGAAACACAACATTGAAGTAGAAATAATAAATTCTATAATACATACCAGTTCCTCTGGCACGATTAAAAAGACAATAAACATCTATCAATGCCATCATTCCCCCAGCTCTCTCCAAGGGTATCTTAACAAAATCTGCAAGCTGAATTACCAACACAAATCAAAGAAAGCTTTTGATGTTTAAAGAAATCTCTATCAAGACCATGAACTTATTTGCCCAGAAAATGCCTAAAGGCACATACACGCTGCACACAGACACACACACACAAACACAAAGATAAAGATCATGAATTTATTTGGCCAAAGACTAACAAACAAACACACACACACACAAATATATAAGTTGTCACGATTTTTGTGAAGAAAGCAAGAGCACAAGAAAAATAACCTGGCGGCACAGTTGCTGATGATATTGAGCACCAGCTGTCTCTTTTGTTACAGGGGATACAATCCCAACACTGAGAAGCCAATCCTGCATCTCTTGCTTAGAACCCATCTCCTCCTCGTTTGCTCCAGTGTTTTGCGAATTCGGCCCAGCTAAAAGCTTCAACCTCATCTTCTCCGCTAACGTCACCATCTCTTTAGCTTTACTCTGCAAATCATATGCATACTAAGGCATTTTGCCCAAGAAAAAATTGGAGAGCAGGGGGATGGAAGTGGAACAACATGGACTAAAATATATAACATTCACCACAGAAAAAGATGCTCGAGAACTACTTTTAATCATACTCGTGAATCAAAGAAATAAGAAATGTTGGTGAAGAAGTTTAGCAAATACTTCATCATGCATCACAAATTATGTCCAAGATCAATGTAACTTATGACCATAAAATTCATATCATATGGTGGATTATTGTGATTGTAAAAAAGCATGAAGTGCAAAAGCCAAAGGTTGCTCGCATAAAGAAAAGGGAGTAAATCAAATTTATCAAATATCAAAGACTAAAAGAAACATCAATGAACGAGAAGCCATTTTGCCAAATGTCTCTATGAATCAAAAGGCAATTCACACAGTAACCAAGAAATTTCACTGATAATCACTATTGTGAGTACAGAGAAGTGAAGGCACATAATAACAGGAATTCAAAGCAAAGAGAAACAGCAAGAAAGGCTTAAACAATGACCGAAACACCAGTGTTTCAAGATCCAGAATCGCCTTACCAAAAAAGAAAAAAACAGTAAACTGAAGCAAAGGGTTTGAGCAATGACCAAAACACCAGTGTTTCAAGACTCCCTCAAGAGGAAAGTCCGAGTGGACTTGCCTGAGTACTGTACAGGGCCAAGAGCCCACTTAAAATAGTATATAAACATGATTTAATATATATATATATATATATATATATATATATATATATATATATGGTTGGGAAAAAAATCAAAGGAAAGGAAAAATATAAAAATAGGGCATATGGCACAAAAAACTCACCAATTTTTGCCAATTACATCCAAATTATGTATCGAAATTTCTTATACATTAAAGGTAGCAGCTGGGTTTTCATAGCGCTATGTCTCAAGTTCTATTCCTATGTTACCTTGTCAAAAGAAAAAATACATATGGATGTGGTTAGCATGCAGGCCAAGCCCGCACACGTCGAAATGGGGGCCCCTTAATAAATCGTTTTTTGAGATGAATTTTTGGACTTAATTTTTAAGGCTATGTAATCTCTAACAGTGGAGGAGATCATGATTATGAAAAAATAATAATTTCAAAACTAGAAATAATATCATTAAGAATCATTGGACCGTTAATT